GTCCAACTGTACTGAGACATCACCTACATTTTTCAGTTTTTTTACTTCTGTAGATTCGAGCTTGGGCGATATGTTGCCATTAGTCTCAAAAAGGAATTACATACCTATTCAACAACAGTAGTAATGTATGCATTTTAAGTCAAGCATGTGATTAAACACTCTGCTAGTAAGAATTCTCAACCAGATGTTGGGCAATCTTACGACACATCATCTCTCTCAACCAGTGCTTGAAGCAGTTATAATTTATGAGCCAGTGGTTTCACATCCTGTGGTGCTGTTATTTAACCAAGTTAAAAAAGCCCCATCCTCACCTTTTCACAAAAAAAAAAAATAAATAAAAGTACAGGTTGGTCAGGATTGTTTTGTTCAATGACGTTACTTCTCAGTATGGCTCGTGATGTAAAGCTTCAATTAATTGAACTATTACAGGAGGAAGGAATGAGCTCCTTAAAAGGTAAGAGTGTCTAGTTTTACCACTGCTTACTTTTTTTTTTTTTTTTTTTAGATTTGGTCATTCTGCTTATTCTGTGGCTAAGTTTTTGTTCCATCTGTGCATCACAGATGTCCCGTCCCCCCTGCCCCCTTTTTTATTTCCTTTCAGCCCATACATTTCTATACAGCACCTAGGAAAGCCTGTATCCTTGAGGGAATTATGGGAATTACAAAACCACAATAGTTACATTGTCATTTACAGACATAAAGAGGAGATAAATGAGGCAAAATCTGGAATAACAGTTGTTAGCCTTAATTATCTGGTCATATATTCACGAAACAGTTTTCTAACAATCCATTGTGCAGCAACTGGCATTTTTAAAAAGCATGATACCAACTATATTTTTCTGCTTACAGTATTCATTTTCTTAGTGTTAACTACAGGAACAGAATTCACACAGAGAGAAAAATACCATTTCACTAAGAGTGATCTCGCTGAATCTGTCAAGGACAAATCCTCATAAGTGGTGAGCAACCTCTCCTTTATAGAATCCTAGACTGGTTTGGGTTGGAAGGGACCTCAAAGATCATCTAGTTCCAACCCCCCTGCTGCAGGCAGGGACACCCTCCACTAGACCACGTTGCCCCAAGCCTCATCCATCCAACCTGGCCTTAAACACTGCCAGGGATGGGGCCTCCACAACCTCTCTGGGCAACCTGTGCCAGTGCCTCACCACTCTAACAGTAAAGAATGTCTTTCTAACAGCTAATCTAAATCGACCCTCCTTCAGCTTGAACCCATTCCCCCTTGTCCTGTCACTACACTCCCTGATAAACAGTCCCTCACCAGCTTTCCTGTAGGCCCCTTCAGGTACTGCAAGGCTGCAATTAGATTAGAAATAGATTAGAAGAGTCAAGGCTCATTTAGGCCCTTTCCCACACAGCCTGAAAAGAAAATAGGTAGAACTACAAAAAAACCTCCAGAACATCTAAAATTCAGTTCCATTAAAATAAATAAATAAATACATATTTTTGCTAATTACAAATTTCCTACAAGGAGGTGATACATTATGTACTGTCCATTTCAGTTTCCAATTTTTTTTCACAGATTAGGACTTTTTTTTCCTTCCTTCCTTCCTTCCTTCCAGCAAATACTACAGTGGACCCTACTAAAAATTTGCTAATACCAAGTTTCTGGTGCTAAAAAAAATAAAAATAAAATAAAATAAAATCAGTCTTCTGTCCATGCTCCTGCCCATCTGCAGTTTCCCCTACAGCCTGCTTCATTTGGGACAAAAAATGAAAGCTGTTACCTCGTCAGATGACTAAACCAGGCAGTTCTGCCAGCACTGCACTTCTTACCTGGTAACTATTTCATTCACAAGGTCGTGACTCCATCCCAAATTTTTTCTCGTGCTGTTCATTTGTCCAAAAGCCTTGTATCTGTCGGGGTCTGTTTCTACCACTGGGATCAGTATTCTCTGTTCTTAAGAATTTTCCACCAAGCATACCTAAGTAAGTTAACAACTGATTTCAGATTTCTTTTTACTAGACCTTATGCTGAAATGTAAAAAATTGTACGGCTATTTCAAGTCTTCACTACATACAAAGTTAATTTTAAGGTGGGTAGGGGATATTTTATATAAAATACTTCTAGATTATCCAGAAAGGAATCTCTTCATGTAAACAAAAAAATCCAGCCAAGCCCCAAGGTTAATTTAATTTAAACAGTGGCTTAAATTCTCTAGCTCTGTTTCTTATACTATAAACTTTTCAAATCGGGGACTTTGGTCTCTTACTAATAGGGACAGAGAATGCTAGTACCATACATACAAACATTCTTTTAGCCACCTAAATCGCTTAAGTCACTTCTTTTGTAGAAAATGTCACTGTGAAAAGGATAGTCAGCCTCCTAATATCAGAAAAGGGACATTTGGAGGGGATGTCTTACAAATTCTAGATCTATCAAAGGATAATGCAAAGATTTAGGAATCTGCCTACGACCTTAGAAAGTTACTATTTCACAATAATATTATTTTCCAAGAAAATAAAAAAAAAAAACAAAAAGGACATATTTATTTCCTGACTCTAGATTCAAATTTTGTCCCTTTAAACTCAAATATTTAAAATAATCAATATATAAAAGTTCCCCTGTGATTAAAGTAAACCTGAATGAGTCATATTACATACAGTAATATATTTTCTGTCTTCTTTCTTAAATTTATGCTTTGAACTGCTCACTAGAAACATTTAGCAGCCAATTTCATTCCAATAATTTTTTTAAAGTGAGATCACTACATCAAATGGAGCTTGAGAGATGGCCCCACAGATCACAGAATACACAAGGAAAAAAAAATATGCATGCTAATCAGGAAAGATACATTTTATTTCCATTTTTTGCCTTCAAATTGTTTTTATCATTGACACTCTCACAAATAAAATGTTCTCTCAATTTCTTTCTATTAAGAAAACCATCCAAAATTAGCAAACCGACCTGACTCAGCACGAAAAATCTTCTGTTTACAACAGATGCTCCAAATTTATTGTGTCACACATGAATACTGCCAGAAATGTCCATTAACGGCATGATTTATCTAATGTGTTATGTAAAGAGTCCAATTTTCTTTAGTTTAGCTAATTTAATTAAACAAGGGGAAATAAGTTTTATCTTTGTGAACAATATTTTTGGAAAAATAATAATAGTCAAAGACTCAAACAATAGGTACTTTTGTTCATAAAATTCCCAACTTTATAGCACTTAGATGAAATCTTCTGCCAAGCAACACACATTCCATAAAGCTGCTCAAGTAGGTCCTGAAGGTCAATGGAAGTATGACTTTCTTCCCAACTGTGACACTCCTGACAGTGCTTAGCTATGAGTTGGGCAGTTGTCATCTCAGTGTCATGAAAGGAGCATACAATTTTTATGAAAGGATGCAATACCTGACAAGTTTCTCATTTCAAATGCTCTTTCCTAGACTAAAAGTCATTGTCAGCGTTTTTGGATTCAGAAGGTCACAGTTCTGAAGAAGAATTTACTTTTCATCAAGTATACCCTGCAGAAGCACCCAGTAAGCATCCTCAGAAGATTCTAAGGCTGAACTTGTAAGTGCAGAAATAATGTATCTCAAGAAGACAGCTTCATATCTAATTAAGGCTCTACAGACTCTCCAGTTCCATAACTCCCCGACAGAAGTAAAATTGGGACAGTGAGTATTTTGAAAGAGCCTGGGGGTACTTTGGAAAATAAAGCTAGCAATACATAGAAAATGAGTGGCTTTGTTTTTTAATTCATATGTACAATCAATCCTTTTTACTCAGGGTTTCTGAAAATCTAAGCTATAGTATACAGGAAAATTCATTTCAGTATTTACACAGTGTAATTCCTTTGCCCTATTACCATTGAACCTCCCCCCATTAACAACAGTTCCTATTTTAGTAGTAAAATTGGGCATGTACATTATTAGAACAAACTTCTCAAATGAGTTTTAATCTCCTCAAGTTGGCAAAGCAACACCTGCAAAATATTTCGAGAAAAAGTACCATTTATTTACCCATACACAGTATGTCAAGACTCAAGATGTCTTCCTTAACCATCCCTTTGTCATTTTATATAATTTCTTCATACTGTAAGTCATAGATTTCTTTGCCCCTAAAAAAAAAAAAAAAAAAAAAGAGACACAAAACACATAAAATGTCAACATTTAGGAAGGCTAACTGGAATACTAGGTTCTTAATACATTAAATAAAATATTTCCCTAGAAGAATGACAACCTAATCCATCAGGCAGACATGCAAATAACCTTTGTCACATTTATAACAGTAATAATGACACACAAAAATACTTTCAATACTATCAAAGCATGCAGAATTGAGCAGGTTTATTCTGAAGGCCTGACGATGTTGCATACAAGCATGTATAGACAATGACCACAGTATAGCAAATGTAGATATTAATGATAAAACTCTTTAACTAGTACAGATTTACATACTAGTACAGAATTTACATCATTGTTACTAAATGCTAAATATAGGAAGGCTTTTAAACCACCTGTGTCTACTGCAGACCCTCACCAAACCAATACATAATGCTTTTCAAGCCCTTTCTGTTCTACTGCTCCGTAGCATGTCCAGCTGAGTAGGATTGTACTCTGGCCTGGTGATGGACACCAGCAACCCAACAGACTATATTCTGCAGCAGGACACCCTAACAGGATTTAGAGAAATCCAAGCTGTTAAGCGTGCAGATTAATTAGCTGGCCACATCTGTGAGAAGAATCTAGTTGTCGAAGCATTTCGGCTCTTGAGACAGGAGCCCACCACCAGATTCTGTAGATTAGATGAGGTCTAATCATCAAGATTATGCCCAAAGTTGTGCAGCCAAAATTTTGCTGAAGGGTAAAGGGAAGGAGAGAGAGGGGTGAACTAGGACAAGAGAACAGTCTGCTCAAGCAAGACAAGCTAACTCTGCGTGACTGGTAGACAGCAAGCTTTATACTTCCAAATCCTGCTTTACCTATTTCTTCCGCTAGTCGTATTTTAGTTAGCCTCGCTTGATGCTATACATCAGGCACTTGGTTGCCTTGTTGCTTCTCAATTCTAACTGTGTAGAACTGGTCTACATCACACTGATGCCCATCTTCATTAAATGCAATCAAACACTGCACATCACCAGCAGCATTCCAGGAGAAACAAACCCAGAGCATTGCTATGTGAGGGCTTGTGAATTAAAAATGAAAGTGTGGTTTTTTTCCATAGGAAACGTGCTGCTGACTGTTGAGGTAGAAATCTGTTCTGCTTTCAACAAGTTGTAAAGTAGATTATAACCTCCTTCAATATTTTTTATTGCCTCATCCTAACTAATGGCAGCTACCATTTCGTAACTGAGAGAACAGCACATCTGCAAGAAAATAAAACTGCTCAACTCACATAATGAAATTACATCTGTGTCCTCAGGTAAAAAAACGATAATACTGAAATGATGATGGGTATGGAAAACCAGATTAATAAGGCACATACCCAGGTGAACTGAAAGAAGCCAAAACAACAAGTTTATGACATACAACTATAATCTGGCAGCACTGCCAATATCAGAAGTATACAATGGACACCAGGGTGAATATCCTGCCACAGGGCTGTAGTCTGGACCAAAACTGGTTCAGAGTATCCCGCCTGTCACTTGTTCACAATAAACCTCATAAGAAGCCAGAACAGCAGTCATACACTAGCATCACCCTGCCGTAGCCCACAAGTAGTGAACTTTGGTAAATACCATACCGTGATGCTAGGCCTGCAGTGAAGGCAGGCATTTCGCAATTTTCATAAAGATACAGAAGGATTTTGCAGCAGTCATTGCCTCCAAGCTTTCACAAGTTTCAGATGCAAAGAGTTTGCGGATGACTCCCACACAATTTGTTAAGTGCATCCTTAAACACTCCCTTAAGTTCTACCAGAGATGAGCCTTCTCTTGAGACCTAGAGTAAAAAAAGACACAGCCTTTTGCTGGGTTTAGTCATCTAGTTTTTGGAAACTTAAAACCAAAATATTGTTAGTCTTGGCATTTCAGTGGGCTTCTGAGATCCTAGCAGTGGAACTACTTATTTTTCCTCCTTCCAGCTTTTTTTGATTAAAAAACCACCCCCAAAAAACCCCAAATCCAACATAAAACACAGACTGGCTTTTCAGATTACAACAGAGTCTAATCACACCCTTAAATTCAAAACTAAAATGGCAAATTGTGCTGCATTTAAAAAAAAGTTTTGATTTTGACACTTACATGCACAGAGTAAGAAGTATGGTACATTATACTTACTACAATCTTTCTTATGTTTATTTAATAGAACACTGTTTACCTGACAAGACTGACTAAAAGAAGACAGAAGCAATTCAGCCAAAAGTCATACACTATGACACACCAGAACACAAGGAAAGATCTTCTGGAACAAATGAACAACTTACACCCAGGTTTAGTCATCTACTGCATTGCACTTTTTTTTTTTTGGGGGGGGGGGGGGGGTGTTGTATGATAACATTTGATTTTGAAAGGACCTTAGAAAGTAATCAAATATAGATAAAATACTTTAAGTGAAAGATGCATTCCGTATTAGCAGTCTAGAGCCACCAGAAGTCAAATGAGAATGCAGTAATAAGGAAAAGTGCATGCTCTATTTCAGAAGGAACATGATAGAGTAAAAAGCCTATCATAACAAATATGCTGTATATAATCAGTTTTGCACTTCTTGCGCCTCTAATTGCAATTTAAATAAACTCAACTTTACCTTTTGTAAGGAATCATCTACGCATATACTGTCAACTTACAAAACCACGTGCATCTCATATGTAAGCTCAGACTTTTCTATATTTAATAGGGTTTTGCTAAAAGCAAGCACACTAATGAAGTCACGACAGGCTTTTCTTTGCAGCATCTCAAGTAACAAGTAAATAATCATGTAAATTCTGAAGCGTCTCACATAGCTGCATTAAAATTGCACACAGTGTAAGAATTCCAGTTGCAGAACATGGCCAGACTGAGCTCAGCATAGCACATAAGTGAAAGAAGGGGTTCAAATCCCCAAAGTTAAAACTATGTAACTGTACAGCTCTGAAAATTACTGTCCAATCTCCTAGGTCCTATACTACCAGGATACAGCCCCTCAAATACCGAAATTGCTCTGCCAGAATCGATGTTTTTCTGCCATTCCAATGACGGCAGCGTACTTCTGGAAGCCACGGTATGTGGCAAATCAACAGTAATGCAGCTGATACAGCCCTGCGCTACCGTAATTAACTGCGCTGACACCGCAGCCTGCAAGTCAGCTCGTTCTGAGCTTGCCAACCTACTCTGCCTCTTGCAGCAGCTCAACATAAAGAGATTTTTCTCCTTCGTATTTTTCCCCTGCAGGAAGCACTCTACTGAACTCCACCCACTAGACTCTTATGTAATAAGATGCTTACATTTCTGCCCTAGCACATCATGCTACAAAGCAAAATACAGGTTTATACATACAGCTGGTTTCTAAAGCAGCCCTCAGGGTGATGAGTCACATCTGTAGTAAAAGTTAATGGTTGTAATTATGGCTCAGTCTCAGAATCCAAAGCAGTTGGACCACATGAAAATGTCTTTCTACTTTAGCTATGAATCTGTGACTTAGTGGTTCCACCTCCCCTTTAGATTTTTCCACTATATGATACAGAACAAAGACCTAATGCACATGGAATCAAGACCACAACATTTCAGTGTAAACATAAGCTGTATCTGGTTTTACTTAATGATCCATGTTTGGTTTTTTGGAAGTGTTAGTGTGATAAGATAATAACTTGGCTCTAAGTCCCCCAAAGTTTCCCAGTAGATACGCCTGGCTGTAGTCGTCTTTATTTCCTTTTAAAAGAAGAAAGACTAACGTGTATACTGCTGAAGAGCTGTCGTGTGGAGGCAAACAGTTATATACCGTTAGTGTATCATGCACAGACGCATGCTAACTTTTTACACATATTTACAGTGAAGTGCAGTGGTATGCAATATCTGTTCAGGCAGCTGATGAAGACAGCAGTTACCACAATTCTACAGAATATTTTATACGTAAAGCTGTTTCTTATAGTTTAAAAAAAAAAAAACAACACACCACCTTGAAGGCATAGTATACTAACATCTCAATTCTAAGAAAACATGTTATTCAGAGCTGCTACAAGCAGTTGTGCTAACTTAAAAATATCTTGAACAATTGCTTCAGCTGATGATTTAGAATCATAGAATTGTTTAGATTGGAAAAGACCTTTAAGATCACTGAGTCCAACCGTTACCCTACCACTGCCAAGTCCACCACTAAACCATGTCCCTAAGCACCACATCTACACGTCTACCTCCAGGGATGGGGACTCAGACACTTCCCTGGGCAGTCTGTTCCAATGCTTGATAACCCTTTCGGCAAAGAAATTTTAATTCATAGTATTTTATTTATAAGAAATTTTCAAGGCTTGCAGCATTCCTCTAGTAAGATATAAAGAAGAAATCTAAGCTAAAGAAGTATCAACATCTCCTTGAGAGGAACTAAATATAAGAACTTCAGAGTTAGTTCCCAAAGACCATGCAGACTCTGGCTATGTGGGAAAATAAATCAAATGACGGTGCCATCTCTAATGGGAAACAGAGAGGCAATCTCACCACAGACTCAAAGGAATACATAGGCACATTTTCAAAAACTAAATAGGGCATTTAACAACAAACAAAAACATAGAGCTTGAGCTCAACTTTAAAACCACGTTGGCAGAGAAAGATGAAAAAAGTTCTCTTAAATGGGTTGAAATTCTTTATTTTGCTTGTGCTCCTTGCCAATAATGTTAATACACAGCATGCCATCTCAGCAACAACTACTCCTGATTTACATTTAATTTGGAAACATGCCGCACATTGGACTACCATGCTACAGACCAGAGAGCAGGCATTTCACTTTGTTGTTGTTGTTCAGATAAAACAATCAGCTAGGGAAATTCTGTCCCCCCCATTACATTTCAAAAAGAATGATGTAGATATGTAACAAACTAATTCTTTTGCAAGCAGACATAGGACAAAAGTACTTGTACAGTTACTAGGAACAGCAAGAAAAAAAAAAACCAGCCAGAGCTTATTTAATGGAACCACTGATTTCATCCACCTCTTTCATAATTCTCTTGTTTTAGCTACTGTTCTTAACTTAAGCACCACAGAAGGACAGAGTCGTAATACTTTTCCTAAAGTCTCTACTAGAAAGTGTGAAAATAGGTCCTAGGGGAATAGAACATTAGCCAATATTTGGTTAAAGAATGAAGAAAGCCATACAGCATCCTCAGGGAATAAATTTAAAAGCTCAACACTTTCCTGTAATGCACATTCTTTGCATGAGTCAAGCAAAGACCTTCTATGTAAAAGCCATGATGTTTTGTCTGTGTACAGTATGTATCTATATGAATATTAGCTGATAAGAGGCCCAAGAAATGGCAAAGCAAGGTGAACAGCATTAATGCCTGCCCCCTAGTGACAAAGTTCTTAAATTTAGAAACTGTGATTGGGAGAAAATCTTCATTAGAAGATACATCAAGATTTAACATAATTTCAATCAAATATTTGGAGAGAAGTATTTAAAAAAAAAAACACCAAACAAACCACCAAAAAAACCTAAACAAACCCACAAAAAAGCAGGCAAAAGGCTTCTACTAAATAGCTCTGAAACCTATCCCTTCTGAATTCCAGGGAAGATCACTGAAGACTATAAAAACATCACAGGTAAGGCCCACACACAGGCTGGTGGGGAAGCAGGGCTGTGCCTACATAAGCAAGTGAGGCAACATTTATTTTACGTGCAGCGGCACACGTTACAGACACACTCCTGTTCCTAACTGAAGCAGCAGGACTCCCTTTCTCCAGCCAGGGTGGCGTGCACAGCAATGCTCAGGCAGGTTAGCTCTACAGGCAAGCTTTACACTCACTAAACAACATTCAGAGGTTAGGCAATGCCAGAAACAGTCATTTTCCAGATCTAACTCATTTCCCTCAGCACGTAATCTGTAAGTAACCCCCAAAGGATCAATCCTGAATTCTGTTGCTAATGGTTTTGGACAGATGCTGGCAGAAGTGCATAAATACAGTTAAAATAAACCAAACTAAATTATGCTAAATAAAATCTCCCAAGCCTCACTCAAACTTGGTTAATGTTTGAAGCACAGGATCACAATAGCTTTACTCTACCTGAATCAAACTGCAAAGCTACATTTTCAACACTGAAAGCACTGGTAAAAAAATACATGTTTTTAAGTATCATTCTATGTAATGGGCTGGTTAGAAGATAACTAAATTTTGTTTTCAAATAAAAAAGCCCAAACAACCCCACACTATATAGAAACCAAAAAGCAGTTAAGACAAAGGGAAGAAATGGCATTTCATGAATACCTAGTTTCAGGTGCACAAAACAGAAAACACAGTAAAAATTACAAGCCCCACTAAAAGATGCATTAGGACCTCCCAAAAGTCCTATTAACAGTATAGGCTGCAAGTGATTTACTGCATGACACACAAAAGGAGCTAATGATTCCCAGAGGTGATTTTCTATCGATCAGAACAGACAGAAGGGGAGCATAAATAAGCTGACAAATCTTAACTACTTTTATTCATACTCTTGCAGTTACATACAGTTTTGCTTCATGGATCAGTCAGGCTTCTAACTTTCACAAGCACCGAATTCAATGTGATTAACACTGTCTTTTACCCCTCCCCTCCAATTATTTTGCTCTACAAAATCCACTCTCCATGGATTTAGAAACAGATAGGTAACAAGCTGATATTTCTACAAGAGACATGATGCAATATAAGAAGTCTTGACCTCTAGCAGGTAATTTTGACAACAAATCCTAAAATAAAAAGCTGACTTATATGGTTGGAAACCTTACACTAGAAACTCCTACCTACAATATGCCCAACTCATAGAAAACAAAAAATTTGCTTTTCTCAGTTGGAGTTACGTCCTTAGTCTCCTCCAGCTACTAAACAAAGTTAGGCAATAGTTTTGTTATACTTACTCCAGTTAATAGTGACTAGACTATTAACAGAAGCATATAAAAAGTACAACTGTTCCTGCTTATTTGATTCAGCAGACCACTAATGGTCCTGGAACACTGCAACTTGTGTCTATTTACAAGGAGGTACGAAGTATAACATGGAGCCACCAACTTTACTACTAAATGGGAAGGGAACAGCAGCTGTAGAAGTTTGATAAGGATTGCTCAGCAGGA